GCACTGTGTGTATATATATATATATATATATATATATATATTTATATATATGTATATGTATATTTACATTAATACTCATATATATTATAAAATCAGAAATTATAAGAATACAGAAAAAATAATATACTATGCATTATTTTAGTTCGATTAAATACTTCATTATTTAAATAATTTTTAATTTTTTTGTTTCTAGGCCAACGGAACCAAACTAAAATGCATATACAATTGCAGATGATTATACAAAAGAAAAAGATTTTTTTTTAAATTACTTTAAGAATAATGGAAAAAATTTTTATTTTTTAATTTTAAATATTTGCATTACTCGTGCAATAATTTTTTAAGTTTTTGTTTATTTTAAGTTTTGTGTGCCATATATGGGCCTAACTCCTCTCTGATTTTCGATTTATGATAAATAGAGTATTTACGTGGAAATATTTATATTAAAGATATATCATATGTGACATAAAAGGTATAATTTTTAATAAACTTTCATATAATGACAAATCTGTTTTCGCGAATGAGAGTGTACTAACAGACAGCTCAAATTGGAATGAAATATCTGCCAATATATCATCAGATATTAACATTCAGGAGAATTTCCTTGTCATTTCCTTACTTAGAAAAGATTTTACAAATCTATTGACACAAAAAGTGTACAATCGTCGAGTTAATGGAAAAACGTACTATCGCTTGCGAAATGTTTTAGAACCTGGTAAATGGCAAGAAGTTATTACAGACAAGTTTTGGCAAACTACACACTTAAAATGTGCATTTCAATTTAAAAATCATTATATTTCTGCAGATGCTAAATCTAGTGTCATCAATGGTAAGTTAATCTAATATAATCTTATGTATTTAATTTAGTTATTTAGTTTAGAAACGTATTTGTTATCTTCCTTTATTGTTTTATATTATCTTGATCTTAATTTCAAGATAGCACTAACTTTTCTTTGCAATATCTTTGGCAATAAATGCAAGTTTTTAAAACTAATAAATGATAAAAACAGCAAATTTATATTAATTTCTACATTTTGTTGAAGTCGCCTATTTAATGGATATTTTATCTAAAATAATATGACTAATATGTAATTTCTATTAAAGCCAAGAGTAGTTATTTTTAAAGTATAATTTATATTTTTTTAAATATTTTTTTTTTTAATTAAAAAATGTCAAAATATTTTAATTCATGTCATTATTATCTCTAAATTTTTAATAGAATTCTTTATAGAGTTTGCTCTTTCGGGAAAAATAACATCAATAATAAGTTGTTTCAAATAAAAAACAATAGCATAACAAAAGATAGCATAACAAATAATATCGATATCAAAAAACAATTACTATAAAAACGATAACAAGAACTAATAATAAATTCGTCTTAAAATTAAAAGCAATATATGTATAAATGTTATAAACTATTTTGTATCATGTACCTATGATATAAAATGTATACGTTCAAATATAGTAAAGAAAACAGGCACTAATTTATTTAAGGAAAAATAACATTTAGATAAATGCACTATATTTAGATA